GAAGCGAGGGGGAGGGGGGGGAGGGTTGCACGGGAGCGGGAGCAAAGTCCCGACGAAGAAGAAGAAGAAGAAGAAGAAGAAGAAGAAGAAGAAGAAGAAGCAAAGAACGAAGAGAAAGAAGAAGAAGAAGATAATTGGAAGAAGAAGAGAAAAAAAATAAATAAAAAGAAAATTATCGTCGATTACATATCTGCACAGAGGTAGCAACGACGAAGACGAGGATGGCATGGCGCAACAATGACGACAACGGGCACGACGATGGTGACGTGGCACGACGACGACAATCGCGACGATGATGACGTGGCACGACGACGACAATCACGACGATGACATGCAATACAACGACGATGATGCTGGTGATGGCCAGGTGGTGACGACGACGTAGGGTGGGTCGGGTGGGTTCGAACCGCTCCGATACCAGTGTGACAAGGCTGCGGCAACGAGGCTGGGAGAGAGGGAGAGAGTGAGAGCACACACACACACTCACTCAACTCGACGCAGACTCTACACGACTCGACGGATGCACACGCGAAGTGGCAAAGTTGCAAAGTCGAAGTCTTGGATTTCCGAACACAATGTCGAAGCAAGTCACACCGAAGCACAAGTACAGCAGCAGAAAACTGGTACGAGACAGGTCCCTTGTGCCGTACGGGGAGCCGGTGTAAGTACCGGTGACACGTACGGTACCAGGGGCATTTTTTGGAAAGGCCCCGAGGGCAGAACTGAAAAATGCGGTATTTCAAAGTGGCACCCGAATTGCAGCATGGCGCCAGTTGTCCAAAATCCTACGGTACCAAAGGAGGGGTTTGGAGAAAGGGTGCCAGGCCGAAAACGGGATGCAGCTGAAACCGCAAAAAGATAGACCAGGGATCGAGCCCTGGGGGAGTCCGTAACATGCGCCATCGTAGGTAGGTCTCCGCAAGGTGCATCATCGCCATCGTCGCCTCCGCCAGCCAGCTGTGCCATCGCACCCCTCGCCGACGAGCCACTCCATCACTCCCCCAGGTTTGTTTCTTCTTCTTCTTCTTCTTCTCCGTGGTCACGATCCTCGCCCATTAGCCATAGTTGTCCTCCGCTTCTTTTTGTTCTTCTTCTTCTACCTCCTCCTCCTCTTCTAGTCCTCCTCTCTTAGCCATCAGCTTGCGTTCTTCTTCTTCTTCTTCCTCCTCCTCCCCCTCTTCTCTCCCCTCTTGTTCGTCATTTTCTTCTTCCTCCTCCTCTTCTTCTCCTCTGTCTTCTTCGTCATGTTCTTTTTCTCCCTCCTCCTCCTCCTCTTCCTCTCCTCCTCCTCCTCCGTTAGCCATAGCCGTTAATTTTTTTATTTTTATTTTTTCGTTGCTGCTTCAAGCCTTCAACTCCATTGCATTCTTCTTTTTCTTCTTCTCCCTCCTCCTCCTCCTCTTCTTCTTTCCCCTCTTCTTCGTCATTTTCTTCTTCCTCCTTCCCCTCCTCTTGTTCTTCTCCTCCCTTCTCTTCGTCATCTTCTTCTTCTCCCTCCTCCTCCTCCTCCGTTAGCCATAGCCGTTTTTTTTTTTTTTTTTTTTTTCGTTGCTGCTTCAAGCCTTCCTCTCCCTTGTGTTTTTCTTCTTCTCCCTCCTCCTCCTCCTCTATTTCTTCTCTCCCCTCTTCTTCGTCATTTTCTTCCTCCTCCTCCTCCTCCCTCTTCTTCATCATCTTCTTCTTCTTCTCACTCCTCTTCTTCTTCTCCTCCTCCATTAGCCATAGCCGTTAAATTTTTTCTTCATTTTTTCGTTGCTGCTTCAAGCCTTCAACTCGCTTCCGTTCTTCTTTTTTTTCTCCCTCCTCCTCCACCTCTTCTTCGTCATTTTCATCTTCCTCCTCCTGCTCCTCTTGTTCTTCTCCTCCCTCTTCTTCGTCATCTTCTTCTTCTCCCTCCTCCTCCTCCTCCTCTTCTTCTCCTCCTCCTCCGTTAGCCATAGTCATCATTTTTTTATTTTATTTTTCATTCCACCCCCCCCCCCCCTTCCCCCCCCTCCCGGCACGCCCTCAAAAAAAGTTCCAACATTCGGAGTTTTATTGCGGAATCCGACAGATCTCAACAAGCGCAGTCGAATCCTGCAAAAAAAAAATAAAAAATAAAAAAAGTGGCTGTTTTTTTGCCCATCCGGTTTGCCGGTTGACCCCCCCTGGCCCGGTTCGGCCCCGGTTGGACCGGGCCAGCTCAACCGGCCGATTGTCAGCCCAGCCCTGCTTTGAAGTTTGAACTGAAGCCAGTTCAAGGGAAGTACAATGTAGTAGCGGACGCTCTGAGTTGGAGAGCTGATTACTTTGGGGCAATAGTTCACTATCTGGATATAGGGAGAGACCTGCAGCAGAAAGTTAGAGACGCATATGCACAGGACCCTATCTACAGTGACCTCCTCAAGAGAGTTAGGGATGCCCCAGAGTCTGAGCCAGACTACTGCACTACTGATGGCTTGTTATTCGAGAAGACTAATGTAGCTGACCGCATGTGCGTTCCAAACAGTGAAGAGATCCGTAGTTTGATCTTAGGGGAATGCCATGACACAGAGGGACACTTCGGTTGGCAAAAGACACTAGCCAACCTCATGCGCGCGTACATCTGGCCTGGTATGAAGGCCGAGTGCATAGAGTATGTCCGCAGTTGTAAAGTCTGTCAGAGAAACAAGACTACTACACGAGCCCCTCTTGGTCTTCTCAGACCTTTGCCTATTCCTGATAGACCCGGGGATTCTGTGTCCATTGACTTTATGGACACTGGGGTAAAGAGTAGGCATGGCAAAAGTCAAGTCATGGTCATAGTAGATAGATTTAGCAAGTATGCAGTTTTTGTTCCTTTGCCTGCAGAGGCACGCACAAACTTAGTAGTCCAAAAGTTCTTTGACTATTGGGTCAGTGAGCATGGTATACCGCTATCGATAGTTAGTGACAGGGATACCAGATTCACTAGTCAGAACTGGCAGGAGCTGATGAAAGTTTATGGCTCAAAGTTGCTGATGTCATCTGGTCGTCATCCTGAGACTAACGGCCAGACTGAACAGATGAACAAGCTCCTGCAGCAAGTTCTTAGAATGCACATTAGGCCCGATCAGATCAACTGGGACGAGATGCTCCCAAAGGTAGCCAGTGCCTACAATAATAGCGTGCACTTATCTACGTGTTGCACTCCCAACGAATTGCACAAGTCGTTCAGACCACGCAGACCATTTGAAGGACTTAACCGGGATCGGATTCAGAGGCTACCGCCCGGTACACGAGAGTTTGCGATACAACACGAGAAAGAAATAGCTACCGTTGTTGAGAACCTCAGGAAAGCCCAGCACAGAATGATAGAGCAAGCTAATAAACATCGTCGCCCCTCACAGTTTCAAGTAGGCGACTTAGTCTGGGTCAAGTCAAAAGAGTTTGCTCCTGAGGAGAACATCTCACAGAAGTTGTTACCTGCGTATAGAGGACCGTGGCCAGTCCTAGAAGTCAAGGACGGAGAGGATGGACCGTCCTATACTATTGAGATTCCGGTACACCTCCACACCTACCCAGTGTTCCATGCGTCAAAGCTGCTGCCTTGCGTCACAAGTCAACAGTTCCCATCACGCAGACCTATGATCCCTCCGGATATGGATGGAAGATACGACATCGAGGGGATAGTAGGTGAGGACGTCTTTAGGACGGGAGGTAGAGGTCGCCCACAGAAACAGTACAAGGTCAGATATTCCTTCCAAGAGCCAGAAGACGACCGCTGGTTCACACGTACAGAACTTCTAGAGACAGCTCCCGACATAGTCAGAGCCTACGAAAGAGATAAGAAGGGTAAAGGTCCTGCCTTAGATTAAAGTATTCTCAGAGGACCTCGAATTTAGGCCGGGGGGAGTGAAACGATTTTCAATTTTTCACCTTTTTCAGACACAGATGCGGGCCCAGAGTTCGATCCCCAGACCTTACCCTACCCGTGTACAGTATCGAGTCGACCCTGTGAGTGTTTGAAACCGTGACCTGTGTTTTGGCAGTTGTTGTTGTCTGTCGTAGGTCTGTGTAGTGGTAGGGGTTCGATCTGTAGGTCTGTCGATTAGGAGTCACAGCCCTGTAGAGGTCGTAGCTGTAGGAATTCTGAAAGGTCAAGGTCGTAGCTGCTACAGTCCTGAAAGGTCAAGGTCGTAACTGCTACAGTCCTGAAAGGTCAAGTCCACAGACTTCCGAAGGTCCGGAAGTGGCATTTCGAAGTTGCCTCACGTTTAGTCAGAGGCAAGTGGGCAAGTGGTGAGCCCAACTGCATTACGTCGGCAGTGCGACTGGATCGAGTTGGCAGTGCGAGCCCATGCAGTCAGCGGTACCGGTCCAGTCAGTCCCAGTCCAGTCAAGCAAGTACCATGAGGGACTGTGTGCACCATAGGCCTGGTAGAAAGGGGCAGACCAACGAGTTACAGATGTATAAATCAAGAGGCAGTGCCCAGCCATTCATTCATTCACTGCGTAAGCCATGCGGAAGCGCTGCTACAAGCATCTTGTGCGAAGGTGGTCTGCAGGTCGCCCGAAGTCGAAGTGGGCTTGAGAGAGACGAGTAGTCATAGCTAGTAGAGGTGAAGCGGCCATAGCCGCTGTAGTGTTAGATGTAAGTGAGTGTATATGAGTGAGCGTGCGTGGGTGTATTCAGGGTGATCCAGAGTTTAGTACGGGTGAACAGTGGTGTTTGGACACAGTGACGAGAGTTGTGATGTACAGGTGCTGATGCGCCATAGCCTGATGAAGTGAGTTTACATCTGAACTGTGTTCTTGGTTGCCATATCTCCGAGCGTTGAGTGGGCGCTGTGCGCCAGTG